CAGCTAATTTTTGTATTTTTAGTAGAGACGGGGTTTCACCATGTTGACCAGGATGGTCTCGATCTCTTGACCTCGTGATCCACCTGCCTCGGCCTCCCAAAGTGCTGGGATTACAAGTGTGAGCCACCGCGCCCGGCCATGAAAGGTTTTCATGTAAACTCAGACAGAGTGTTAAGACAATAACCTCAAGAAAAAACAATCAGGAATGTAAAGCTCTCAGGGCTGCCATATGCTAACTATGACTTTGAGAGTAAATCATACTACCTCTCTGAACCTCAGTTTCTTTATCAGGGAAACAAGGAAAGAACAATTGTTGCATCAAAGAGTTGTGAGAATTAAGATATAATGCATATAACATGCTTAGAATAGTTACTGGCATGTAATAAGCACTTTTAAGATTATTAATTAATATGTACATGTAGTCATACATATAACAAAACATGGTTATACAGATAAAGACTGTAATTCATTAAACAAGATGTTTCATTACAGAGCATTTGGATAGGACAGTGCCCAACACTATCTCCTTTCTGTTCGCACAAATGCACGGGGACATTTTTTCTGAACCATTTAAAAGGTTTGCATACAAATATCTCTTTAACTCTTACTACTTCAGTATGTATTTCCTAAGAAAGGTATCTCTTATGTCACCACAGTTCTAGTTTCAATTTCAGAAAATATAACATGATATAATTCTCTAATCTACCATATCTATTCCAATTTTGTCAATGAATCCAATCACATCCTTTATCGTTCACAGCAATGTTCCCCGCTTTACGGGTAAAAGATTTAGTCCAGGATCACATATTGAAGCTGTTTTTATATCTCTTTAATTTCCTTTAATCTGGGGCATATACTAAACAGTATGTTTCCTGGCATCAAAATTAATTATATTCACATCTTCCCCTTCAAACCTAGATCATGCTTCTTCAGGTAAGAATGTGGCCAGGTGCAGTGGCTCACGCCTATAATCCCAGTAGTATGGGAGGCTAAAGTAGGAGGATCATTTGAGCCCAGGAGTTCAAGACCAGCCTAAGTAACATAATCAGACCCCAGTCTCTATAAAATTAAAAACAAATTAGCCTGGCAAGGTGGAACATGTCTGTAGTCCCACCTACTCGGGGGGCTGAGATGGGAGGATCACTTGCGCCCAGGAGATTGAGGCTGCAGTGAGCCATGATAGCACCACTGTACTCCAACATGGGCAAGAGAGTGAGGCCCTGTCTTTAAAAAATAAATAAAAAATAAAAAACACTTTTATACATTTACATTATGGCAATATAAATATTAAATGCTAGAGAGCCAAGTAATACATTAGCATTACATTTCCAGCTGGGTATGGTGGCACACACCTATAATCCCAGCACTTTGGGAGGCCAAGGGGGGTGGATCACTTGAGGTCAGGATTTAGAGACCAGCCAGGCCAACGTGGTGAAACTCTGTCTCTACTAAAAATACAAAAATTAGCCAGGAGTGGCAGCACATGCCTGTAGTCCTAGCTACTCGGGAGGCTGAGGCAGAAGAATCGCTTGAGCCCAGCGGGTGGAGGATGCAGTGAGCTGGAGATTAAGCCACTGCACTCCAGCCTGGGTGACAGAACGAGACTATGTCTCAAAATTTAATTAATTAATTAATTTAAAAGGATTACATTTCCTTCTCTACAGAGCTAATCTACAACACCCCACCACCCTCCAAGCTAAATGAAGGTTAAGATTCCTATTCCAAGCCTCAAGGTCAAATAATCTCTCTTTTCTTAATATATGAAATTTTGACAGCCGGAACCTGCATGCTTCTCTCAGCTCCAACATCAGTACCACCCCATAACATGACTTCTCATAAATCTTTACAGAAGCAAAGCAACATTTAATCCTCCTGCTGAACATGGTATCTCATCTTTCAGGCACCTGTTAAAGAGAAATTACTCAATTCCTTACTCAAAAACTAAAACTTATACTTGCAAAAAAGAATACCTCAAGTAACATACTGAGCAACTTGGACTACAAGGGCACAGATTATGTACCAGAAGATCCTTCACTATACAGAAAAGTGGGGGAAAAACAGCAACCTGTTTTTCAAAACAATCAACAAGATTATGCTGACCAATCTCTACTCAAACCAATCTATTCTCTTCCCCTATTCTTACCAAAACAAAAACTCTAGTCAAGAAGAATTTATACTGAGAAGGCACTGGTATCCCAGGACTCTAGAAGTGTTTCTGTGAACTGACAATTCAAATATGAATATAGTTCTTGCCTTCAAGGGCATGACCCATCCTGTGGGGGTGACAGACAAATATAACTAATAAGACAGTATGTTAAGAGATACAGAAATTTAATTCCATGGTAATGCAAAAAGCAGAGAAAGAGATTCTGAGCTGGGTACTCAAGGAAGACTTGTGGAAGACTCAAGCATTTAATAACTTAACCAGCCGAATTTTGAGCTACTGAGACAAGAGAGGAACACGAATGGCATGGCAGCAAAGTAAGACAAAAAAAGCACCTTGGAGAGTATTTAAGAGACGGTTTAAGTAGGTCAGTGTGGCTACAAGAGATGAACTTGGTGCACAGAGAAAACAGGTGACAAGCTGTCTGAAGCTCACCTGTGAAGAACCTAAAATGTTATGCTAAGGAGTTTGATCCTTGTTCTAGGGGCAATGGCAAGCCAACAGTTCCTGAACAAGGAAATGACCCGGATTTAGGAACTTAAAACCAAAGCAATAACTTGTCTTCTAGTAAAACTGTACTATAGCTCTTTAAATTAAACAGGTGGCAGAAACAAGAGGTAGTAATAAAGATTTATGTAGTAAGAGGCACACAAAGGTCTGAAAAGGACATTTTATGGAAAAGGAAAAGGGTTAACAGCCACACTGAGAAAAGAACTCACCAATTTTTTCAGAACTTGTTTTTCTCATTAAAATTCACTTGTACTATAGTAATCCCCTGCCTTATCCTCAGAGAATATGTTCCAAGACCCCTGTGGATCCCTGAAACTACAGGTAGTACTGAAAATCGTATTTTTTTTTAATTTCAAAACTAGCCAGGTGTGATGGCACACACCTATAGTCCCAGTGACTGGGAGGACTGCTTTAGGCCAGGAGTTCAAGGCTGCAGTGAGCCATAATCACATAACTGTACTCCAGCCTGGGAAACAGAGTAAGACCGTCTCAAAAAAAAATAATAATAACAAAAACCACTGAAAACTGATAACAATTATTTATTTTAGATAAATGATTAGTGTTGCAACTCATAAAATCTCAACTTAAATACATGTTTTCCAGTACACTATCACAGCATAATTATATACAGAAAAAGTGACCTGGTATCAGTCCTAGTGAAACGAAACATCACATGTAAGGACATTAAAGTGAACATAGAAAAACTAATCTAAATAATCATGAACATAGACAAATAGATTCCCAAAAATGAATCTAAGTTTTTCCCTGCCTCGAAACAGCAGAGAGAGCATTAGGGGGTGGCAGGGAAGAAACGAGCTTACCAAATGAAGTTTGTCCCAAGAACTTTTCCTACTAGGAGATTTCACAAGGAAATCTGCAAAACAAAAAGTTATTTTATAATGACAAATATCCTAGGACTTAAGCCACTTAGATCTCCCCACAAGACCTTTCTCTACAAGTCATGATGCCATATGACAGTAAGATTTTTAAATTGGTGCAACATGGACTATTTAGTCAACCATAGATTTTAGAATATGTAACTGCACAGAATGGACCCAGACAAGCTTTAGTGTGCCTTCAGAAATTGCAGAACTGTACAGAATAGAGCTCCCCAGAAACGCACAGATATGCTTACATTTTTCTCAGTCAAGCAAGCATCATCTCTGACAGCTTCTCAGGTAAATATTTGCCACTACAGGAACAGGTACTTTACAAAACTAAAAAGATCACAGACACTCTAGGCTTAGACTTAGTTTAAGGTGTTTTGTACACATAATTGGCTTCTATCAAGGGATCTGTCCTTTTGTTTAAGAAAAAGGGTAAGGCGAATATGGTATAAAAACAAAGAATTCGGCTATGTAGTAGCCCATACCTGTAATTCCAGCACTTTGGGAGGCCAAGGAGGGCGGATCACTTGAGGTTGAGAGTTAGAGACCAGCCTGGCCAAAATGGCAAAACCCTGTCTTTACTAAAAATACAAAAATTAGCAGGGCGTGGTGTCACATGACTGTGATCCCAGCTATTCAGAAGAGTGAGGCAGGAGAATCACTTGAACCTGAGATGTGGGGGTTTCAATGAGTCGAAACCACATCACTGCACTCCAGCCTGAGCCAACAGAGTGAGACTCCGCCTCAACAGAACAGCAAAAACAAGTAATTTTTGTCACCGCAAGGCAACAACCTGAACTTTATGGAGATAAAACATCTAATCGACCTGATTCCTTTGTGACAATTTCTCTGAAGTTGTGCAAACACAACTAATCCATTTGAGCTAATTGTTTAAATGACATGAAGTCACATCAATGAACAAGATTGCTCAGAATATCAAAACTCTGAAATTAAGGAGTCAAGGCCAGGAATGGTGGCTCATGCCTGTAATCCCAGCACTTTGGGAGGCCCAGGCGGCTGGATTACCTGAGTTCAAGAGTTCAAGACCAGTGTGGCCAACATGGCAAAATCCTAGCTCTACTAAAAATACAAAAATTAGCCAGACATGGTGGGATACACCTGTAGTCCCAGCTACTCAGGAGGTTGAGGCAGGAGAATCACTTGAATCCAGGAGGCGGAGGATGCAGTGAGGTGAGATTACGCCACTGTACTCCAGCCTGGGCGACAGAGTGAGACTCTGTCTCATAAAAAAAAGAGTCAGTAAAATATGGTGATTATTAATTAAGAACCATAAAAGGAAAGCCAAATGTGTAACAGTAAAGTGTCTTAACCATTTTACATAAAATATTTTTGTCTCCCCAATAACTTTTAAGTTTTTTTTATAACTCAGGCCATATTAATCAGACACTATATGAGAATGAAAAAAACTACTCATAATTTGCAACTTCAGAGATGAACTGTATTTAGTATGAAGACCAGTCTTGCCGTTAAGTTGCTTAAGTATTAAATACAACATAGTAGAGCAGGAAAGTTGAGGGGTTTGTAAATCTGTAGGACCTTGTCCTGCAAAAGTATAATTCCACCTGAGTATCTGCATGAAATACATACTATTACAAATTATTTTCCTTTTATTTTTCCTTTATATTAGAGCAAGGACATTATATTGCCTTTTAAAAATTATGTCTGGCCAGGTGCGATGGCTCACACCTGTAATCCCAACACTATGGGAGGCTGAGGCAGGAGGAGTGCTGGAGCCAGGAGTTCAGAACCAGTCTGGGCAATGTGAGACGACATCATCTCTACAAAAATTTAAAAAGCTAGGCATGGTAGTGCACACCTGTTGTCCTCTATTCAGGAGGCTGAGGTGGGAGGATGGTTTGGGCCTAGGAGGTCAAGGCTGCAGTGAGCCATAATGGTGCCACTGCACTCCAGTCTGGGCAACAAAGACAAGACCCTGGATTGTCTCAACAACAGCAACAAACTAATGAAGAAAAGGAGGCAGAGCAAGCTGTCAAAAACTGAAAAAATTTAAGGCCTATGGTAACTAGTAAAAGAATATTATCATTAAGAAATGAGGGGCAGATTCCAATGAAGCTATTCAGCTGTGATATGCTGGCTTTAACAGTGACCTCCCAAGTAGATGTATGTCCAACAGGTAAATCGGAGGAGAAATGGTTCAAGAGACAGGTCAAGTTGAAGGGTAAGAATGAACTGATGGTGCTAGATTTAATTCAGGAAAATCACTAATCTGCTATAAAAGTCATCTGACATGTTAAAAAGTTATGTGATAATTTATTCTGTCAAAAATATGACACATAATCAGTAATACAGAAGTGTTTGTGTCAGGTTTCCACAGGTCCTGATTAAGTTCCAAGAGATGGACCAAACAAGGGAGATTCAACAAAAAGGTTCAGGAAGACGGGCTTAATGCTGGCAAAGACTATTCTTCCCAATAACCACAATCAAACAACTGCTTGGTTAGAAACAGTGTCACTGTGAAACACTACCAGCAAAATTAAAAACTGCCTCTGCCTGTTAGGACTATTTTTCAGATAAGGACAATGTAGGCAGGGTGTGGTCACTCATTCCTATAATCCCAGCACTCTGGGAGGCCAAGGTTGGAGGATCGCTTGAAGCCAGAAGTTTGAGACCAGCCTACACAACATAGCAAGATCCCCATCTCTACAAAAAAAAATTAAAATAATTGTTTAATTAGCCATGGTGGCACACACCTGTAGTCCCAGGCACTCAGGGGGCTGAGGCAGGAGGGTTGCTTGAGCCCAGGAGGCCGAGGTTGCAGTGAGCTATGATTACAATGCGGTACTCCCAGCCTGGGTGACAGTGAGACCCTATCTCTCAAAAAAAAAAAAAAAAAAAAAAAACTTGTTTGAAAGAAAAAAAGGGCCACATAGAGGTGAGTCTGAAAGAGGCTCTCTGGTACCATAAGGTGCCTTCCCATGATACCAGTCATGTATATACCTCAAGGAATAACAGTGGTTTTCTTTGGGTAACCTTGAACATTCACGTTATTTGTAGAGGTAGTAGAATGTAATGTGGTTACATTAAATCTAAGCAATTACCTAAAAGGTAATTATAAGGGATGCTTAAACACATTAAGCACTAATGAACAGACAAAAAGGGAAGACAGGTAGGCAGGGTTCTTAGGTTCCATCTCCAAGAGGGGTATGAATAATAAACCTTTCTGGAAGTTACCTGAAATAAGAGGATAAAACTTTAACCATCACATATTGGAACACATATTGTCCCAAATGGATAGGATTTTGTCCACTCTAAGAGAAAACCCTAAAAGGAGTAAAAAATCAATATACTAAATTATTAAATACTACAGTATTGGATATCATCATGCAGCTTTCACTGGAGGGGGTACCTAACACAATATACTTTAAGTTCCTTTCTGTAAAATAATGAGGGAATGACTAAAAGGAAGGGCACAGAGGCCCCCAAAAGGCCAAAAGGAATGGACATATTTAGCACCTACACAGAAATGTTTGTGATCATCTATGTGCCACCTAGCGCATCAGCTTCAACAAGGGCAAAGAGGCATACCAATCTGTACTGTTTATATAATTAAAGAACCCCAACTATAAAAACTAGTAAGTCTGAACCAAATTCATGAGGAAAAACTAAGAGGCTCTGGCCAGGCCTCCTAAAATGTTGAGGGGTTTTGGGAACTAAAGCAGCACTTTTTTGGCTGAGATACAGTTTAACTTCAAAAGAACAACAGAATCCTTTCTACCTAGTCCTGTCTCACTTTTCAAATAAAGGATAATTAAGATTCAAAACCTTAAGAAGGCAACACTGAATAATTTTGAAAGAATATTTTCACTTTCACTGATGTTAAAATAATTTTTTGCACATGCATTTAATATTAAGAAACAGATTCAGAGAAAATTTTGAGTGTAGAGGCAATATTTTAAAATTCGGAAGTGTGAAATTTTAAGAAATGGATTTATGACTGCCACTATTTTGGGTGATATTTTTTCAGCTTGTTAGTGTTTCCTTGCTTATGTCTATTAACTTTTCACATATCAGAAACTAGAATTCTGTAGCATGTTGGGTAAGACTATTCTATGGTAGGAAGATAATTTAACCAAAATCCAAGCATATATCCACTGTGTGACACTACTATGGCTTAGCCTTACTCCCCGCTCAAATTTTCTAAAACCTTTGTCGCTGAAGTCATCTATAAATGAAAAGAGACAAGGAGAGAGTCAAAAGCATGGCTACATTCACCTACTATGGTAAGTGATGGATGTTCATTCAACATGTATTTCTGAGTGACGGGCACTACTCTTGGCACGAGAAATACAGCAGTGAACAAAACAAAGTTCCTACCCTCACACAACTGCCATTCCAGTGTGAGCTGTAATATCCTCACAGGGCTCAAAGCTCAGTGATTTTTTCCTTATTGATGACTATGCATTGAAAAAGATAAAACAAATGGTAAATATAAAATTGCACCACTGTCCTGGTTCAATGAGACCTCCAAGTAATAAGACTTTTTAAAAAAAACAACAAAACCAGAAGTATGTGTCTTTTCTATCTCTTTGCAAACATTAAGGTCTGGGAGTTTTCAGGGTTCCAGATGCAACTTCATGATCAGTGTACTGCATTTCTCTGCCAACTGTGGGACACAGATAAGCAGCTAAAATACTATCACTTCCTAAGCAAAAAACAACCATCCTGTCCCAAGGTGGGGGGGCGGGGGGGGGGAATCTAGTAAGTTGTCAGAAGCAGCTGAACTTCAAGTTATAATCATTTTTGTATCAAAAAATCCTTTACTCGAAGCAGGTAGATGGCTTCAGCCCAGGAGTTCGAGACCAGCCTAGGCAACATGGTGAAACCAACATCTACACACACACACACACACACACACACACACACACACACACACGCACATACACAATTCACTGGGCATGGTGGTACATGCCTGTAGTCCCAGCTACTAGGAGGCTGAAGTGAGAGGATCACTTGAGTCCAGGTGGCAGAGGTTGCAGAGAGCCGTGATGGAGACCCTAAATGACACTCTACTTGACAGAGTAAGACTGTATTAATAAAATAAAATAAAAAAAATAAAAAGCCTTTACTGGTAATAAGTCACTTGAACCAGCAGCACTTAAGATAATTTTCACTATTAACAAATGAAAGCTCTGTTTCAATAATGATCAAAAGATCAATCATGTATAATTATGTAACTACATATGAAGTACAGAGTATGCTATTTATTTTTCATTTACATAAATTGACCTTTTTCACGTGGGGAAAGTTCTAAATACATTCTTCAAAAGAAGTTCTGCAATAGACAGAATCTGAAACAGTAGGTTAGTGATTAATGCTTAAAAATCTCTCATCTTCATTTAGTGGCTTTTCCAGAGGTGAACCCAAAAATGTGAGAAATCAAAAGCAAAGTAATTACACACTAACATCTTTAGACATTAGGCTGGTTGCATTTCACATGCACCTTATTGTTTTACCCATCTCAACAGGGAAGAGAAAGCAGCCCTGACCATGTTCTCAGAAAAGATTAACTGCAAGTAAACCAACTTTAACAAATTGCATTGGTACCCTTTTAAATAACTTATTTTACAAGCATTTTCCTTTTAAATTTAATTCTTATACAAGAGATATGGTGCAGGGGGTATCAGCCATATATAATATCTTTAGCACCAGAAAAGATTAAAACCAAACATCACATACAATCTGCTAAAAGGAGTAAAAATTAAATTTTTAAGAACGCAGGCCGGGCGCGGTGGCTCAAGCCTGTAATCCCAGCACTTTGGGAGGCCAAGGCGGGTGGATCACGAGGTCAAGAGATCGAGACCATCCTGGTCAACATGGTGAAACCCTGTCTCTACTAAAAATACAAAAAATTAGCTGGGCATGGTGGTGCGTGCCTGTAATCCCAGC